TATATATATATATATATATATATATATATATATATATATATATATATATCGATAACGCGTGAATACAACGTTCGTAAATAGCTTGGAAGAGAAAGCTTGGCTTCACCCCCATCGCTGCCGCTCGAGGAGAGAGGGATGGTAGTTTGGAGGGTACGTCCAGGTATAATTGCCAATCTTTCCACCATGAGAGAGGAATGGTGGGGTGGGGATATTTCGTGTACCTGAGACGGTAATATCTTTACTTTCGTTTCTGCAGAGACAATCAGTTGTACTTGTGACATCGTGCGAGTCACACAAATTCTTACCCGTCTTCCCGTTTTGCTCTCCTTGCTTAATCGGTTGGCAGCGAGTGAACGGGTAGATCGATCGAAGTGGAAGACGAGCCATCGCGCTCGTTGCGTGCGTGTTGCGTAAAAAGAAAAAAAAGTGTGGTAAAAGAAAAAAAGGAAAGACAAGTTGGACGATCCTGCCTTGGACGAAACGGTGGTCGAAGCGGTGGTTAATTCCTCTTCTGAAAGAAAGTTGAAGGAAACCCGCGGCGTCTCGCCTCCGCTTCTGTGGTGTTCGAGAATGCCGAGAATTCATTAATGAACACTGGACGTTTGAAATAACGCGTGGAAAGATTGTGATGATCATAGCGTGTGATACACCTGTGCAAACACCTTGCTGAACATTGTCTAGATCGAGCGTAGACACACAAATCATCATCGATTCATCATGGCCAATAAAGAATTCGATTGGAGTTCCATTTTAGAGTTTCTCAAGCCGAAGGAGCCAGTAAGGTAAATAATAATAATAGATTTACTATTAACGGAATAAATATTGTTTGTTCGATAATCGGAAATGTTGCCTCGAACGTTCCATTCGTTCCGCCGTTATTAGGGGAAAGCGAAGAAAGTTTTGTGGAACAGACACGATTGACGTCGCAACGATTTCTCGACTCGATCGTTAGAAAAAAAAAAAAAGAAAGAAAGAAATGAAAAGAATGGTCGGAAAACGGTAGTCTCCTTTCGGTTTCGATCGATCGAGTACATCGTGATTCAGCTGTTGAGATTGATCGGTGGCGAGAGTTTATTCGATAACAGGTTAAACGGTTTCGTTGCGAGAAATTTCACGCTTTTTCCCTCTTTCTCTCGCCGGATATAGAGCAGACACGCGAGATCCGTTCGTTCCGTTCGCACCGACCTTATATCGGGTCCTGTCCGACTCGAAAGAGTCGGTTTCGAGTAGGTCATTTCGAGAGATTCTGTATCCACGGCGAAAAGGATGGCGGGAGGACAGGAAATGGGTTGGCGATGCAAAAAAAAAGGAGAGAGAGAGGGAGAGGAGAAGGCGGATGATGGCGGTGGTGGTTCCCTTTGCCGTATGCCACCACCTCCGCTCCCTCCCCCGGTTCTCACGGGCTACCTTGGTTCGCGTTAGTTATTACCTGACATTACCCTACGGTTTTCCTTTGAACCGTGAATGCTGTTCCCTGAATTTCATCAAAGCCGTGTCTCCCTCCTTTGAGAGTTGCCAATGCGCTGTATCGTCGAAAGCCACTTCTCGTTTCCCGTACTCCAGCGTCGTACCAGCGTCGATAGCGCGCGTATTTCGCGTTCCGCGAAATCTTTCCTCCGTTTCGTGTCCATGGATTTATTAGTTGTATTATTAATCGAGCCGGAAATGTCGAGTTGGAACCAAAAATGGTTCCCATCTAGGATGAAAGAATTCCCGTTCCGTAGAAAAGAGAGGCGACCAAGTTTTGCGAAGCAAGAGATCGAGGAGATATTTGGCGTTATCTGGGCCAATGGAACGCCAACCTCGCTGGATGCTCTTGTTCGATATCGGATCGATCAAATCGGTGTTCGAGTTATCGAACAATACATCAAATGTATGTTGCACGTGTCGGCTATAATGAAATAATTAATTATTGTTATGTTATCGATTTATCTTTCGCGCCAATCGTGCCTCACAATTTTCGATCGATCTTAGATCGGTTAGACGAGGTAACAAATTATAAATCGTTCTAATTATAAATCGCGTTGGCAAATCTGAATATCCTTCTGTATCTCTTTCGAAATGTTTGTTTCTCTTTTGGTAGTCTCCTTTCAAGAGCGCGAAAGGGGTGAACGGATCGTAAATGGCGCATCGAACAGATTGGCGCGCCGAATGGTTCTTCCGCCGCATTGACCACGCTATATCGAATTAATTGGCTGAATTCATGGTCGGTCGGTGCTGCGATGCTCGAAGAAATGTCGAAGCTTCGCGCGGTGGAGAAAGAAAACTCGACTCGGTCCGTTGACGATAAAAATAATCCACTGACTAAGATGATCTAGATGAGTTTCGGCGACTATTATTACCACGAATCTTTCCACCTCCGTTACAAAGCATCGGGAAAATCGTAGCGATATTTGTGCTGTGTTATCCGCGCAACGACGTCCGTCGTTGTTATTCCTTCGATTCCTTAAAAAAATGCATTCCATCTTTTTAATGCGATTTCACTAACTCCTTTATCGAGCGTCGCATTCTCGGTATTCAATTTATTTCGATGCAACATTCTCTCGATCGTGGCGGCTACGTCTACGTGTATATATACGTATCACACGTGCACTTATTATCTTTTGCTTTTCACGGAGCGTTATTCCGCGAGCTTGATTTCCGCGAAATCGTCGTCAATGACGTTTCGCGTGGTTGCATTTTCTTTCGAGGACCATGATTTCGCTGACGATCCGCGACGATCGCCGTTGCATTTACTCGAATTTCACAGGCTTCCAAGACGCACGGCCTCGTCGCAATCCAAAAGAGACGAAAGCGCCAAGTTTTGGGATACCAGTGTCCGCTGACTGGTCAAATTTTTCCTTCTCTACTCCTTCCGTAACCTTCTCTTTCTCGATTCCCGCTTGTTTCGCGTCGTCTTTGAACTTGTAATTTCGTCTTGGCTCGATCCTAATGGAACGAATGTGCGTCGAAAAAAAAGAATGGATCTCTCGAGCGATCAACACTCGAGACGAAGGATAAAAGGAACATAAAAAATATGCATTATATACGCGATATAATCAAGGAGAGAAAAAAACAAGTTTCCCGCATTTTCCTCGTTGATACGCGGTGTATATACGCCGTCTGTTTGAAGAACAACGCAGTCGTTCGTGTCGTAGGTCAGTGTAGCTAACCGATCGGATGGAATACAGCGTGTTCGATTGTTGGCGATGCTTGTCGAAGCTGAATCGCGTAGCCGTTGGGATTTCCCCCGACACGGCAATTTAACGTGATTGACAGACGCCAGCTTTTGACGGCTCTCGTCTGCCCTGGTCGGCCAGAACTTGAGAATCGGTTGCAACGAGTTAATTCGTTCGATCCGCGATAACCCAAATTCCTCGCCCCTGTATTGCTGGGCCGGCTCGCCGAGTACTTTCTTTCGTTAATTACTCGATACGTAGGCGACCGCGTTTATTATGCCATTTCATTACGCGTGGCAAGGGGTGGCGATGCTTTCGGGCTGATTAAATTAAATTTAAAATCCGACCGTTCCGTGCTATTATTTTAAACGATGGTTTCCAGTGGGGCGTACGTTGTTGGGTATACGGGCGTATATAAAAGAGATTTCGAAACGAGTCGATAAAAATTCTCATAAAGGTTGTGTGTCGGGGTTTTCCATACGCGTGGCTTTTGTGCCGTAAAACGTATCGGAAATTAATATGCCAATTTCCTCCGAAAACTGGCTTGGCACGAGTTCACCCCCTTCCCCCACACCCGGGTCCGGTTGTTGTAGCGTCCTTTGTTCGAAAATTAGTCAAATGTGTGGGAACGCCTGTTTCGAATGTCAAAGAGATTTAAACGGGATACGCGTACCTTGACCAGACTCGCGAATTACCATTCGATCGCGGGTAAACTTTAAATTATTATTGTTAGACGCGAATCGATATATATTGTCGAGGGGAAAATTTGAATCTCGAAATTAAGGATTTTGATTTTATTCAAAACTTGAAAGTTACTTGATTCTTCAGAAAGAAAAAAATAATTTTTTTTTATGTACGTTGGATTGCCAACGAGGCACGAGGAACGTGCATCGCGACTCTGTTTTTCCATTTGATGGACTTTATGAAAAAAAAAAAAAAAAGAAAGAAAAGAAAAAAAAGAAAGAAAGTAAACCGTTTCACGCGTACGTCGTCAGTTTCCCGCCACCGCTTTGTGCGTATTGTCAACGACGGTTCACAAACGGTAAGAAACTTCTCAGCAACGTTACGAGTGTCACGGTAATCCATTGCTATTATACATATCTCGTGCGGCAATGCGCCTGGCGGTTTGCGCGCGAGGCGGCGTGTCGGTCGACCGAAGAGGAGGAATAGAAGCGTAGGAATAGGCGGCGGTGGCAGAGGAGTAGGAGGTGGAGTAAGTTGCGCGCGCGGCCATTTTGATAATCTCCCACTCCAGTGTCTCACTCTCCGCTCCTTGCTCCTCCACCTCGCGCTCCACCTTTCCTCTCTGTCCCACACTCGCGCGTCAACCTTTCTCTATCTCTGTTCCACTCATTCTCTTTCCGTCTCTCGCGTGCACACGCACACCAAGAATTTTACACACGTAACGGGCACAGGCGCGCATATACACATACGTGGATACACGCGCGTACATAGATCGGAGAGAAGGAGCGAAAAACGGAAGAAAAAAAGAGAGAAAGAATCGTTGGAGCGAGGAGATGACGACGACGGGCTGGCGAGGGTGTAGAGGAGTAAGACGGGAAGGGAGGTTCGTACACAGAGGATCGGTGCGTATATTTTTTTTCTCGTGCTCGTAGTGCGCGAGCTTTTGCGGCAAAAGAGCGTGTGCAGGAGAGTCGCCCCCGTGGTCGCTAGTGTCGCGATTTCCCTTCTTCCTCTCTCGCTCTTCCTCGTTCTCTCCCGTTCCCGCTCTCTCGGTACAACCGCGCGCATACACGTATACCCCGTTGTACGTGCTCTCGCGCGTACGTGTGTATCTCTGCCTATCTCGCTCCTTTGCCTCTCCCTCTCCTCGTCTCGACCGGAAGGTGCCAGTTTCTCGTCGACGATCGTCTCGTGCACACTCGCGCTACGTCGTCGCCGTCGTTTCGTGTATTGTCGCGTACCTATCGCCGCGACATTGTCGTCGTCATCCTCGTCATCGTCGTCAACGTCGTAAATGTCGTGAACGTCATCGTTACCGTTGCGCAACATTCAACCTCTAATCATGGCATGTAAACAAATTGGATTACAAGTGTCGTGATCCTCGGTCGAATTTCGACGAAAACGAACCGCGTGTGTCTGCTGACCAGTGCAAGTAAATAGAGAATGTTGCCGCGTCAAGGAGACTCGTCGTCGGGATCGGTGCGTTATATTTTCGTGTTTCGAGTTTATTTTATTCCTTCCCGCGATTGACACCGTTCTGTCGGATGGAAAAAGGTGTTGACCTTAGGAAAGTGTTGGTGCGTTTATCTTGTTGGTGGGTTGTTGCATAGTGTGTGTCGTACGAGTGGGAGCGCGCGCTTCTGGATTAGCCGCTCCTCTCGTGCTTCTCTTCGAAACAACGCCGATCGACGCTCTGCTCGCGGAATCGTTTGAGCGTTCGACGAAAGAATGAGAGTGTTTTTCCACGCAAATATCTCGTCGCCATTGGCGAGCCGTCGAGCCGTTTCTTCGCACACGATTCTCGGTATTTCTAGTGATTCTGGTGATCGCAGTTCTAGTGACAAGTCAATTTTGTCAGGATTATTTTTGGATACCACGATTGGTCGACTCGTTCTTTCTTGAACGCACGGTGAGTAAGTATTAAAAACTTGTGCGATCGT